AGTAACTACCAAGGAAATTTGTTATTTGTAAGGGATGGCAGTTGTGACTGCTGACAATGATCACCCTACTTCTTCACTCTTAGTTTATAACTTTTGCAGTAACCTCTCATTGCGAGTTGGATGACCTTCCTCATTCCTTCACAGTGGGCTCAACCAAGTGATTTGCTTTACTCAGTGGCAGGCTAGCCAATTTAATTCACACTATGGTGTATGGTTGAAAAAAATACTTGTCCTTCTCTGTTTTTTTCTCTTGAACTTCTACCATTGCCAAGAAAAATACTAGGGCCAACTGGTGAAGGCTGAGCTAGTGGAGTTTAATTGCCCCAGTGACCTCTGCTAAGACCATCCTAGATCAGCAAACATTTATTAACCCATCTCTAACTGGCCTTCAGACTCATGAGAAATAACAAACTATTACTATTTTCAACTACCAAATATGTAATAGTTTATTATGCATCGATTGCTAACTGATTCAAAAGTCGTACACTCTGATGGAATCATGTTCTGGGTAGAATTTTCTCTTCATTTTTCAATTTGAATGATTGTGATATGTATCTCATCTGTGTAGCATTTTATATACCACAGTTAAAAGAATGTTAGGAAAGAAAAAACAAACATAGGTCCTTCCATTTCTTAATGTCAAAGTCTCAGACATTTATCCTCTTGGCAAGGTGCTAAATATTAAAATACAAACATTGTCTTTTCAAGTCAATCATGGAGGGGAATAGATATAGGAATTAATTTTTACCATCCACTGTATATATGTTTTAGCAATCACAATTTCTGAAACCAAATAATCTGAGATAAAATTTAGCCTTTTTCACTTCCTAAGTGGGTGTTCTTCCTCCAGTGTCAACATTTTCAAAATAGAATTGTAACAGTATCTATTCCTCCATAAGATTGTCAGTAAGATAGCCTGAAGTGAAATTGTAACATACTTAGAATCATGCTTGGCATTTGTGAGCTGTCATTAGATGTTAGTTATTGCGACAGTTTTTTGAAGGCTGAAAGCTCAGAAAAGAAAGATTAAGAGGGGTAAGGACTGAGTAGTGGGACAGCCATCATAAACTGAATACGTTGGTAAAAAAGCAGACATTTGCTTGGAATATCGAATCCACATCTGTATTTTCAAAGAATAAAGAATTGATGGCTAACAGGATATCCTCTGGTTTTGAAATATAGTATCTGTGGAATACTGTCTAGCACCTCACATGTTGTAAATTTCCAATGAATTTGGTATTTTAATATCACAGTAGTTTTCAAAAATTTTTAATTTAATAAAGATGATTTGTGCCATTATGTGTGACAATAGAGGCAAACCTGATAGGGTTATTCCACAGGACCTTCTAGTCCCTGTGTAATAATATTGGGAATAAAAAGAGGAACATTTATTCCAAGAATTTATAACAAGGAATAAAGAGTCAAGCCTTAAGAATGTATTGTGCTTCGGTAGATAGCCTAAACGTATTAAATCTCATTAATAAGCACAATATACACATCTATATTTTCCTTATTTTTAAGCAAAGTTAGTGAATTCATTCTATTTGCTATTTTGTATTTCTGATTACAAGATGCTGTCCCCTGCTGTTTGCTGAAGATTACACCAGCTAGTCACACAGAGAAATAATACAATTTTGTTTCACTACTAAAATGTCTCAAATTTAGAGGAGAATCAATGCAGAACTCTGTATGACCATAAAACAAACTTGCTGTGCTAGCACTATGCTCCCTCTACTCCAGTGTCATTTCAATCCAATAATATTTTGTCCTGTCACATAATGTTTTCATATAGGCAGACTGAGAATGTGAAGATGTGACCAATTACTTATCAAACAATTATGCTTTCTAGAAGATTTTTAAATAAGAATTTTACATGAAAAATGCCCTATCATTTTTGACAATACCTAGCAACCTCTTGTTATTCACAACCATTAAATTTGCATGCATTAGCTTGTTTACTACTTTGAGTCAAGTCCTTTAGGGACAAATGAAATCCCATTTCCCAATAGGGTTGGTTACACATTCACCTCTGGGAATTGATACTGAAGAGGACACCCTGCATGGAGACGATGGTCTTAGAGGTGTCACCCATGTTACCATAGCCTAGAGACCAAAAGAAAACTGGAAAAATCGGAACTGAGCAGTTCTAGGTTCAAAACCTGGACCAAGTATGTGACTTTAAGCTTCACTTTCCCCAGACTCAAAATGTTTCAGGAGTGTAAATATTTAACAGGGTAATGAATACGAGGAGCTTAGCAAAAGATCATACACATAGATGCAATAATTACTGCTTCAATCTGAGTCTAAAAAGGAAAATCAAATGACTAATTTAATATCTTATAGTATGTATGTATACCAAATGGGAAAAAAGATATTGGAGCTGCTGAGTGGGAAGGGAAAGAGAAGTAGGAAATCTTTCATTTTTCTTTTAGGTTAACAAGCACAGATCTTGCCCTGCTCTTTTGTTTGGTAGATTAATTCATTCTGAAAGGTGTTAAAAATGTCTAGGAGGTTGCTAATAATCAGTTTTGAAAAAAGAAATTCCTTTTTGCTGTCAAATTCCCTAAAAAGAAAATTTTCATTTTAGATTGCTTCCAGCTTATTGAAGAAACAGAGGGTAGACTCTTCGGAAGCCATGTAGAGTAGCTACTGAATGTACTTTAAATGATTTATTAGTTGGTAAACTCTAAGTGGAAACACAAATTTAAGTTATCATCTACTTCCTACCGGTGTTTTGAATCTGTGAATACATTATTCATTAAAAAGAACCAGTGCCAGCACCTCTCAACAAACTGTCATTCTGACATTATTCATAGCTATGCTCAGACTGTACAAAAAATGCTGGAGAAAGTATACTTTACATTAGAGCATATCCTTAGCCCCCTAAAGAATTAAAGATGCTAATTATGCAAAGCTAGGTAGGGAAATACGTATTGTGCTAGAAAGGTAACAGAAAAGGAAAAGAAAAGATCATTTGATGTGAGCTTGGATATGCTTCTGATGTTCCTTAGTAAGAATGTTCTTTTTCTTTTTTTTTTTTTTTCATACCACCTCTCATTTTGGTTTACTCACTTTGTTTAAAATTATCTTTGAACCAAGAACATAATTCTGATCTCTCAAAAATAAAACCACCACAGAGATCATTACTTAGAAAAGGCGAAATAGAAAAAAAATGTTTATTTATCCTCCACCTCCTCCCACAGATATAATTTTATTATTGGTTCAATCGCAGTTCCTAACTTTTTGCATTTCACACCTGAGGGTCACGTAGCAGAGAGACATAACGTGAATAACCATGGCCCACGGGAAGGGCCCCGGGACCGTGCTGTAGTGCAAAAAGAAAGGAACATAAGTACAGTATTAATATCACTGTTCCTGGCCCTGGTCCCCCCTTCTCAGGAGACTTAGCGCAGCTGAAATGTACCAACAGCTCCCCTAACACGAGTTGATGGAAAAGCCAACATCCAGGAGCGAGGGATGGAGAATTGAGTTGTCAAGCTGTCTTGCATGTCTCGTACAAACTGAACAGGCCAATTTACTGCAACGCTGCCTACGCTGAAGGCGCCTATCTCGCCTTTACAGTTGCTTCCTTCTAGCGAGATGATCCTGCTGGACCGCCGGCTCCCACCCCGGTGGCTTAGGCGCTGCTCGGTCTTTCTGAGGCTGGGGAGAGGCCCTCACCTTGCGATCTGAAAGCAACAGCTTTGTGTGCTTGGGGATGATTTTGAATCCTAGTGGTGATTTGATTTCCATATTTTCCTCTTTGTAGCTCAAAACTCTTGGCTTTCCGGATGAAAAACTGGCAGGCTTTTCGGGGGGTGGGGCGGGGGGAGGAGAAAATTGACAACTTCTCCCACACAGCCTGAATTTCTCTACCTAATACTGACCTCCCGGAGTGGGGGTTGCCGCGCGACTGCGCGGTTCCGACACTGCCCTCCAGGGGGCAGCCGTGCCACACCTGAGAGGCTCCCGTCCCCTCGTCCCTGACTTCAAGTGTTAATGCAATCGACCAATCACTGCTAAGATGATGGGAGGTAATTGGGTAATTGTGTTTTACTGATCACTAGCAGAGAAAGGGAAAGGGGAAAGCTAGAGGGCCGAGGAGATAGTGGGCTGCGTCCTAGAGGAGCCTTGGGGAGCTGGGACCCTAAAGGCCCGGACAGAGCTTTGGTGGGGACGAAGCCTGGTTGGAGAAGCGGCCGCCGGCGCGGGGAGCGCGCTGGTTCCTCTGGGGGCGAGCGGGGAGCGAAGGGGCCGGGAGGAGGAGTTCAGAGCCCAGGAGGCAGCGCAGGGGCCGGGGCAGCTGCCCGGCGCGTCCCAGGCCCGCGTCTCCGCGCGGGGACCAAGTGGTGGCGCCCCAGTGTGTCCGCCGCAGCTGGAAAGGAGCGCAAAGCTGCAGTTTCCTTCCCGGAGGATGAGAGGAGCCGGCGATTAGGGATTTGTGGGGTTTTTTGGTTTTTTTTTTTAAACCCGCTTCGTTCCTATTTCTTTTCTTTTTCTTCATCTTCTTCTTCTTCTTCTTTTTTGTTTTAAAAAATTTGTTTTTCCTCCACTCCAGCGGTCCCATCACTTTCCCTTCCCTGTTGGAAATAAAAGCCCCGTGTGAACTCCCCCTCGCCGAGGCGCCCCCGGATCCGAGCCGCCGAGGGAGGAGGAGGGGTCCCCCGGGATCGGGGCTCCCGCAGGACCTGGACCGCCGCTGGGGCTGGGGGCGGGGACAGCCAGAGCCCTGGGAGCCTGGAGGACGGAAAAGAGTGAGCGGCTCTTGGCCGCTGCCGGAGCCTCAGAGTCGCTCCCCCGCCCGCCAGGCCCGCGCTCAGCTTAACGTGAGATTATGAAATTGCAGGGGCGGCCGAGGGAGGCAGCCGGGGTCCTACCCGGAGTTTGGAGGGGAGAGGCGAAGGTGGCTGGCTGGCCCGGGTGGCTGAAATCAAAAATCCAATTGCGCACTGGGTTGTGATAAGAAATCTAATCAGATCTTTGGCAAAGGGGCCGGCCGGAAGGAGAGCGGCGAGTGGGGGAGCTGATCCCCCAAAATCTTGGGGTGGGGGGAGCAGCTGAGGAAAGGAATCGACGACGTAAAAGGGGACTTTTTTTTTTTTTTTTTGGTGGCGGTGGCTGTCGGGGCTTGGCGAACATGAAGGATGCGGGACGCGGCTCTGTCTTGGAGCCCAACGCAGCGGCTAAACTGCTTGTGCAGGAGAGAAGGAAGAACGAAAATTTTTCTGGATCTTAACACAAATGTGTGTGTGTGTGCACCGAGGGAGCATTGGAAAATGAAATAAAGCCGTGTCCCAGCTGCGGGGTTTGGTGTCTTCCGACCGAAGTAAATAATAATAAAATAGCTGGCCCCCACCTCCCCCGAAGGATGATTGCAAATGGAGAAGCTCGGATCCATAAAGGAAAAGTATGCTTATTTTTCTCTGTAAAGGAAAAAGTACACCAAGGAGATGTTTTTGGCGTGAAAAGTTTGGGGCTTTTTTTAGGAAAGTGAAAGACCTGATATGGTGTTGTTGTTTTTTTTCTTTTTGTGAATTTCCCACAAGCGGAGAGGAAATTAATAATACATCTGCAAAGAAATTTCAGAGAAGAAAAGTTGACCGCGGCAGAATGAGGCATTGATGGGGGAGAGAAGGCGGCAGAGAACACTTGGATTTGTGCGTATGCCTTGACTAAAACTGACGGATAATTGCAGCTGGATTTTTCTTCATCAATCTCCTTTTCCCCTCTTTTCTTTCTTCCTTTTTTTTTTTTTCTTTTTTCTTGTTTGGTGTCAAGATCCTGCGTTTTCTCTTATACGTAACCACCTGGATTTCCATGTGGATGTTGCTGTGAGGGGTCTGAAATGCAGTGAGTGATCTTTATTTTCTTATTTAGTAATGAAGAAAAAGGTTCCTTAATGTACCGTGCTTATGCTCTTTATCCGCTCTCCCCCGCTTTCTGTGCTTCTCAAAGACCTGACTCTTTGGGCCAGCAATTGAGGGACAGGGCGGCCCACTCGTTTCTTGCACCAGGCTGGGTTCGCCCAGAAGCCTGTTTGCTCTCACCCAGGCAGCTTGCTGCATCCTGGGCAAATGCCTTTGCAAATGTTGGGCAGGAACAATAAAAACTCCCCAAGAAAGCCGCTGCAGTGTGGGGTCCTGGGGCTGTGTGGTACACACTGTGGGGTGCACTGAAGTTACATGGAAGCCCAGGAGGTAGAAGCATGAATGTTTAGGGACTGGAAATCTGAGGGACCCGATTTGAATTTCATTCTGCATACTGAGACTGCAGATCAACAGAATGGATTAGCATGGAAGTGTGGTGGGAAGATGGGCAGGTAAGGGGTGCTGGCTGCTGAGTGTGTTCTGGGAGGGAGCGTGTCATAGTGGTCCACCCTGGTGGAGAATCTCTTCTGAATAAATGTGCCCAGATGTGGTCCCCATATCGCCAGGGTTCTCACCAATGAAATGAGGCGATCCCGCTTCTCCACCCCACCCCCTTTCTAACTTGTGACTTCTTGGATGACAGAGAGGCTCCACTTAGGTCGTAGAGGGTGTGGGCCATGGGGATTGGTCAGAAACCTTCCCAGCATCAGGACCCAGCTCCTGAGACAGGGGCTGAGATGCCTTGGTCCTGTGGGCACATAGGAGCCACAGCGTAGGGCTGTGTGTTGAGTAGCCGTGCTCCTGCTGGGCCAGTCTCATGGAGGGAAAGAGAAATAAAGAAAAATAAAACAGAAAAATGCAAATACTTAGGGAGACCAGGGTCCTACAGAAGCACTTCCTTCTCCTGCACAGTTGTCAGAGTCAGCAAACTGAACTGTTGTACAGAACTCTTCACCTTTACCCTTCTCTAGTCCTCTCTGGAGCCTTCTGTGATTGCATAGCAAGAAAAGAGAAACTGAGGGCTAGAGAAACTGTAGCTCTTCGGTTAATGGCCAAACAGTATGAGACAGGTGACACACACAACCCTCAGAGGAGCAGACAACATTTATATCCAAATTGAATAGGAATTGGACATGAATAGCATGGTTGACCCTGTCACCATAGTTGCCATTTTTGCTAGGAGGAGTCAGAGGAAGGCACACTAGTCCCGAGAGTATAAAACAAACTTCTGCCATTTTAGACCTAAAGGGCTGTAAACTCCAACATTCTCTTCCTTCTTTCTTTCTTTTTTTTTTCCTTTCTCCCAATTCTCCCCACACACACACACATAACTCTGATTTTCATCTTGTTTAGAAATCCACAGCTCTGCCATATCCCAAAGGAGATGAGAAAGGCTGCTGTCTGTCTCTTGGGTCCCTTCTTAGTACTGGATGCATTTAATCCTGTGAGTGGTGGACCCTAGAGAGCCATTAAAGTACTCTGGAGTTAGATTTATGTTGGAGAAGTGATAATAGAAACCAGAAACATCCCGCTAAAAGCATCTGAGTCTGTTCTTTGCCTCACATCATCTATTCTTATCCTTTTCATTACTCCTTAACTAAACTAGCCTACAGCTGAGCACTTCTCTAATTTATTTTCCTGGCCACATGTTTCCTGTTGGGACACAGATCAGGCAATAAATTTCCCAGTCTATGAAAATAATTATTGCAGGATTTTCCCCCTAAGCCCCCTGAAGCCTTCTGCATATCTTACTATGATTTGCTGCACTTTGTTTGTTTGCTTGTTGACTTTATTGTATATGACCACTGTGAATTTATCATTCCTTGTCATAGAATAACTCAAGTTGTAGTAAATTTCTAATCAGCTGCAACTTAGGCCAGCTGAGGAAAAAGGAAGAAGAAAAACTATAGACTGTGATACTTTTACTTTGTACTTCAGGTCCAAGCTTCATGTGGGGAACCAGGCTTACACTTAGGTCGGGTCTTCCATTTGAGGGAAGTTTTGCTTTGCTTATCTTTTTTGACATCAAGGTCTTCCTAACCCTACTCCAGTTGGATCTCCAAGTACAATTAGCTCAATGACATCACCCCCTCCCTGTTCCCTCCACACTTACACAGGCAAAGATTCCTGAGAGAAGAGGGAGGAAAGGATGGAGGCAAAGATGAGGAGGAGAGAGGAGATAACAGAATATATCTGTTTAAAATTGTAAACTGAATGTGTCCTCTCATCCACCTCCACTAAGAGAGATCCTAAGGGTGCTTTTCCTGGGACGAATCACTTCAGTGATTACAGTGAGAAATGCAGGCTCAACCACCTCGGAGTTAGCTCCTTTGGCCTGGCAATCAGACTTGGCATTGCATTTTGGGCAAATTGTTCATGGGCTCACAGTTGTGGCCATGGTATAGCTGGAAATTTACCTGATGAGTTTACTTCAGGGCTGAAGTTGCTGCCCACGGGGTAACATTTTTGAGCCACTTTAGTTGTACACAGGGATCTACTGAGGACACAGCTGGAGGGCTGCCAGGTTTTGTAAGTTTTGAAGCCACCATTTTAAATGTTCTTCTCTATTTGAGTAGCTGTGCCCTTTGGGCAATACTTGAATTTCCCTGGTCCTCAATTTTGTCATTTGTGGGATGAGAATGATAAGATCTGATTTGTTGGATTGTTTCGTGTATTAAAAGTAATGTTATGTAAAGCCCAAGTATAATGGGCCCTCTAAGGGTGGCTGTTTGTTATGATTATTCTTGGATTAATTAATTTGGATTAGCTTCCTGTGAATGAATACAGGCTAAGAGAGCTCTTTGAAAGCTCTAGTGGTTACAATTGAGAAGGAGGGATTGTGCAGTTGACGTTACAGTAGTTATCAGGTGGCTCTTCTGAGGTCTTATCAGGACAGATTGTCTATGCCATCTCATGTTAGATGTGGAATGCTGTTCAGATGTAAAACTGTAAATTACAAATTTCTGCTAAAAGTATAAAGAAATTTTTGCAAAAATGTCATGAGAATGTGGAGGAAAACAATGCTATTATTGTGTTTTGTGTACTTTTAGTCCAAAAGTATAATATAGCTCTTGGATTTTAAATGTATCCTTTTGGCTACCCAATGACATTCTGTATTTGGAATGCATAAAATGAAGTCTATGTGATTCTATTCGTTACATCAAATAATGTAAAATTCTATTACTGCTCTTAAGGCCCCTCAGTCCACAATTTGGATTCACAGTTCTCCTAGATATAATGAATCCCCTGTTAGCTAAAAGTGGTACATTAAAGATGAGTAGACTGCGTGGGGTCAAGATTTAATGCAGATATATAATTCTTATGGTTTCCTACTACCAACTTGCCAGTGGTTTTTCTGAAGCAGCCAATCCTGGTTATTGTTTTCTAATTTCACTCTCCATAATAGTCTGAATACTGTCCATTTCCTCCATACACTGCCAGGGAACTTTTCTCCTTTTAAGATGAGAGAGAGAGAGAGAGAGAGAGAGAGAGAGAGAGAGAGAATCCTGCTATTGTGATGACTCCTATTTTGATGTCATGCCTGTGGATAATATTATAGTCAGGATGGAGAGTTACTTTCAGATTTTTTTCTTTTTTTTACTATTTTATGAATGAAAGAATGAAGACAATTCAAAGTCTTTTTCAATTTTGGAAAAGTATATTAAAGTTGACCATTTTTACTTATCTAAAAAGAGATGAGAGCTGTGTATGGAAGTTCTCACATTTTGATAAATTTTACTTTGTTGTGTACTTTCTAAAGGTGGCAAAAATTATGCAAACCTCAGGCTCTAGTATTCCGGATGCATATGAATACTCAGAAGCTCTTCACTGGACAGCGTGTGCTCCATGCAGCCCTGACCCTCTCTGAGCTTGTTTGCTTGTGTGTGAAATAGGTTATAACAACACCATGGAACTGGTTGCTGTGAGGCTGAAATCAGATTTTATGTGTCATGCACTGCAAGCATTCAATAAAAGCACATTTAAATTGATCATTTCTGATTTTAGTCTAGGTGATGCACCATTTACCCAAAAAACAGGTATGGTCTCTGTTGATAGGAAGCTGTTAATTCAAGTGCTCACTGGTGTTGATAAAACCAGAGACTCATAGGGACAGGATTGAGTTTGGAGTCAAACATAAATGCAACCTTTATGGCAAGGCCCTACAGATTAAAACATGTTTGGAATTGTCTTCGTGTATGTCATTTCTTTGACAGAAGTTGGGAAACATGCGTTGCAAATTGTGTACAATGTACTCTGTATCCATGTAAACTTTTATTAGATTGTCAAGTATTGTGTAATATAAGCAAAAAAAATTAATGATTTGTAAATAATGTCTAAGAGGATCAAGAATAACCCACACCTTTCTTTTCTTCAAAATGCTATCTCTGGGGAAATGCCAATTTCCCTGAATCTGAAATTTAGGCAGAGTTTGTGACTGAGACTTAGAATACTTTCTGAGGGCAAAGACTTTATTTTGTTCTCTCACCTGGCCTCAGTGCCTCAGAGGTATACGTGCCAAAGAGTAGACATGTGTAAGTATTTCTTGAATGGCTAAATTCAAAGAACCACCCTTCTGAAGGACTCAAGGCACGCACATCCCCATGACTACACACACTGCCCCACTCAATGATTCCCTTATTTAGAAACGCTTAGTTCTGAAAATTCAGTGATTAATATTCTTCTTATTTTGAGTGTTGTTAGTGGTGAAATGTCATATTTTGTACCAGCCTCTTCATTCCTTAGAGTTTACATTCTTGTATGTTAAATAAAGATAAAAAGTATGATTTCTTGAAGCACTAAAATTCTAGGATTCTGAGTGCATAATTGACTACCTAGAAATTCACAATTCCTGGGAATTAAAAATACAGACTCTCAGGAAACTAGTTCTGATAATGGAGAGAGGAATCCCCCAGTAATTCAGGAAGTGAGATTATCGGTGCAATGGCAAATATGTGAGCAAAAAAGTGAAGGCAATGACTAGGG